GAAAGGTCAAGAGAGGTAAGTTGCCTTAAGTTACCTATGGAAGCTGGAATGGGACAAGAAAATTGATTATCGGAAAGGCCAAGAGAGGTAAGTTGGGTTAGGTTTGCAAGTGATGATGGAATTTGTCCGCTAAGATTGTTAGAATAGAGGTCTAGGCTAGTAAGTTGCCTTAAGTTACCTATGGATGCTGGAATGGAACCTTCCAAGTTGCACTGAAGAAGATTCAGATACTGTAATGACTTTAGATCTCCTATAGACTCCGGTAATCGCCTTCCGCAATCCATGACAGATAAATACAAATGTTGGAGAGGACTGCTCCAATTGGAACTTGGAAGATCAATAGTGAGGTTTCCCTTTCCACCTAAACTAAATCTCTTGAGATTTGGAAAGCGGAAAATACTGTTTGGAAAGTTTCCTCTTAACTGACAATTAAAAAGACGAAGAGAAGTCAAAGAAGAAGAGAGATTCATGAAGAAACGAGGATTAACAGAAGTCATGTTCACTCCATTAAGCACAAGTTCTCTCACCTCACTCAAGTTATGAACAAGATTTTTGAAGGTAGTTGTTTCAAGGATCAAGTCAGAAGAAATGAAATAATTAGAGAGATTGAGAGAAACTAACTTGGGGAGGTGAGCAATTTCTCTCGGAACATGGCCCGAAAATCGAGAATCAGAGATATCAAGATGCTTTAGTCTAGTAAACTGACTGATTTCTGGTGGAATCTTGGAAAGCCTAAAATCATTGAAGGCAAGATTGAGGCTCTGCAGGTTTTTGAGGAGAAAAAGAGTGCTGTTGGAAGGAAAGGTGCCAGAAAGGTGACTGCAGCTGAGATTAAGGGCAATTACATGGCCTGTGACATTATCACAGCTAACCCCATCCCAGGAACAACAGTCTATACCTTCCTTCCATGATTCAGTCTTAGAATAAGGTTTGGTATAATAATGTTCACATAAATCAGGATTAGAAGCAATGAAATTGATGGAAAAGGAGGTCTTGAATTGCAGCAAAGCAAGAGCCTCCTCATGAGAGCAGCGATGTGCTGCTGAGAGGGAAGAAGCATGTATAGAGGATGAGAAGGCGGCTTTAAGACAGAGGAAGAAAAACGGAAGGTAGAGTGGTGTGCAGAGCATTGTGAAAATTCCCATATCTTTGTTCGTCGTAATAGAGTACTCTAGAAGAGTATATATAGTGTTTTAAATTGAGGTGTGCTAATAATTGAATATATTCCATCAAAACAAAAATAAATTGAGATATACTAATAATTAAATATATTTCATCAAAACAAAAATAAATGAATATAAAATGTAATATTGACCCATGGTAGATGTCATTTTCGAATCTACATTTCCAACTCCTCTCTTATTTTCCTACTTTGAAATTAGGTGGAGTAATTAACTATTACAATCACATTATATTAATATGATTTTAATTAGTAATTTAAATTTTAGTAAGAAA